GGGGGGAGTGGGGGAACCAGCCTAAGCAGACCCACTCCCCAACCACAAGACACCACCACAGGGAGGGGGAAGCAACCCACAACCACACCACACCACAGGGAGGGGGAGGAGGAACCATTGGGGGGGGAGGGGGGGGGGCCGGCCGAACCGGGATCATATATATATATATATACACCCGAATTACATACCCCAACACTAAGTCCCCTGAACTCCCCTAAACCCTGAACCCCCCCTAACCTTAAAGCCTGAACCCCAAACCCCAAACCCTAAACCCCAAGCCCTCTGATCCCTTAACCCTAAACCCCAAATCCCAAACCCCTCGAGCATTCTTGAGGTACGTGCGGCGTCCGAACGGGACTTTGGCGCATTGATACTGAAAGTAAGTGCAGTTCAGGGTTTAGGGCTTCGGGGCTCAGGGTTTAGGGTTTTTTAGGGGTCGACAGGTGTATAATGTGTACATACGCAAACTTGGGAGCCACTATCCGAAACTCCAGAGATTCCGAGGGCTGTGATCCTATTTGTAAAGACATCCCTTGTCAAGAAAACCCACACGCATACATGGATTTAGGGTTTAGGGTTTAGGGTTTAGGGTTTAGGGTTTAGGGTTTAGGGTTATACTGACGAAAGATTTTTGCCTTCTTTTACAAGGTAGGGTTTGAGAAACCGGGGGATCCTTACCTAAGTTTCCTTCTGACCACTCTTAAACCACCAGGGCCCCTGATTACTTCCTGAGAGGTTAGGGTCTAGGAGTTTTGGGTTTCGGGGCTTAGGGGGTCTTAGGCGTTTTGGAGGTTGAGGGGTTAAGGACTTTCGAGATTCATGGGGTTTAGAGTTTAAGGGCTCAGGGTTTAATTAAGGGTTATGGGCTTAAGGGTTTGGGGTTTAGGGTTTAGGGTTTAGGGTTTAGGGTTTAAGTAAAGGTTTTGGGCTTAAGGGTTTGGGGACTCTTCTTAAATAAAGGGCCCAGTCTCCAGTGCCCCCCAAGATCGAGCATGGTAGTTGGCCGACAGGCCAGTAAAAGATCGCGTACTTCGAGACCTCGCTTAAAGGATCAGGCGACTTAGTAAGTAGGGCTATAAGTAAAGCAATTGACATTATACATATATATATATATGTATGTTTGTACTTATTTGTATATCTACTTCTAACGCAAGCTAGTGTTGCCCCTTATCACCGGAATACTCCTCGAGTTTTACTAAACATCCTAGGTCGAAGAACAACCATCCTTCTTGAATTGGCTATGGCGGGCTTGTGTATTTTTATTGAAGTTGGTCTTAGGTTTGGGATCGATTGTTGGTCCACTGTGTAGCACTGTTGAACCGCCTCTCCGTACAAGCCTGTCCAAGCCTGTCTTGCTCATCATGTCAGCACAGGTAGCGCAATACGGAGAGACATCCGAAAAACGGGGGTCTCTTCCGGGTTAAGGCAGCAACGGCATCCCACTACCCGAAAACCGGCCGCGCCACACTCTTGAAGTAGGAGTTCATGGAGAAGTTCCAAATCGGCGTCATCGCAGCTGTAAAAAGAAAGCATGCCCAAAGGAAGGCTAGGATCACGACCAGCCGCAGGCATCGGGAAGCCGCACACAGCGAGGTCGAGGGACGAGTTGCAGAAGCCGAACTTGCGCTGCTGCTGCTACCTGTAGCAGGTGTTGAGTCAAAGTTTCAGCTGCAGCAGGGCTAAGGCTTAGGATTGTGGATGAACATGGCGAATGACTCGACTTACATGACGAGTACTGCCCAAGAACTACTCAAAGAAACTGAACCCTAAACCCTAAACCCTAAACTAGTTTGGCCTTCAAGCTCAAAGTTGCCACTGCCCTCAGAATTGGTTTCCACATCCGAAGTTTCAGCCGGCTCCCACTTCCAAGGATGGAGGAGATTTTGTAGCACAAGGACCAGTGCCAGTGCCAACGGCCCGAAGGCAAAGACTGCGCTGTAGCCTAGAAACACCATCCAAACGTCGATGGTCCATTCGTCGACGGACTTCGTCCTGCCGTCATCGTACGTCTGGTATGTCTCCCAAGGCTTGGCCAGCAAGAGGAGGGCCCCCAAAGCAGCAGCGAGGCAGAGTAGCCCCAGGACCACCAAAGACGAGATCCCCTCCAGACGGCTGTGCTTCATGGCCGCACTGTGGATGGCCGCGGTGGCTGCATGTTCAATGAAACCTATACTGGCAAAGGCAGCCATGATGGCAAAGACCGACGCAACCCACTCCGCCCAATTGAAGCACCCGGTGTATCCAATTGCCCTTCCTTGTGGAGATGTGCATGGCTTGTTGAACGCCTGGCTTGCTGTTCAGGAACTTAAGTTAAGTTACCATACTGGTGATATATAGCAAATAATACGGTTTCCTTATCATCGTAAGTTAATCTATGTTTCTTAACAGCAACCCAGACGCATAGCCCACGAATGACACGGCAGCAACGGCCAGAAATCCTGAAACCATTGCTCCAGTCCTGAGACGCAGAAGCCAGGAAACAGCAACGTGAGGAAGCCAAATCAAAAGGGTGTTAGGGTTGTGGGTTAAACACAGGGGGGTTTAGGGTTTAGGGTTTTGGGCTTAGGGTTTAGGGGTTTAGGGTTTAGGGTTAAACACAGTTTTGCAAGACTGCTCCAAAGAAACCACTCAGCCCATGGGCCCTGCCATCGAGACTTTCTCGACCCGCTGCTGCTGTGCCACTAGCACTACTACACTAGATCAACAAGTCGCGCGTTTGAAATGTGCTCGCCAACACGACTCCTGCAACTCACACAAAAACTTAAACGTGAAACCACAAATGCAATCCTTTGCAATATAGGGCTTCTATGAACCTGGGATCTACATTAACCTTAGAGCCATAGTATGCCTCAATTATCCAGCAAGGTGCAGCATCAGCCGCGACCATCGTTTCTCCACATCGGCTGCACGAGTCTCTCCAGATGCTTGCTTCATGGCTCAGGCGTGTAGTCAAAGCTGTATAAGCGAGAAACTAAGGACTGTGACTACGTCGAGTTTACGGCTGAGGGTTCAGGCTTCAGAACTTCAGGCTGGGGATCCGACATTTTGCAAAACAGATGTGCCAACGATGCAGCTCCGTGAAAAATGTTGTGGGGGGCAATAGCGAATCCTGCTTTCCAGCCCTGGCGACAGACGAAGAAAAGTTTAGGGTTTAGGGTCGTTGCTGAACTCCAAACTGGCACTGTCAAGCTTTGCACTGCCATGCTAGCCTGGCCCATGGCCGACAGTTGATGACTACTCTGACGTTTCTTGCTGTGGGGAGGACATCGAAAATCACATGCGAAGGCAAGCTTCAGGCTCTCGGATTCATAGGCGCGAAACAGGGCTTAAACAGATGATGCCGCGGAAAGAAGCCTTGCAGCTGTTGGTCTGCTTAACACTCCAACCCAGCAGCTCGGACCTTACTGTAGAACACATCGCAAAACAACTGAGAAGAGCTGCCACGAAATCCCAATGAGCTCAGAAGGTTTGGGGTATACTATTCTAAGCAGGATGTGTGTATAGGCCTGACTAAGGCTAAGGGATGGGTAAAAGAACTTGTGCAACATGACCCCGAAAACAACCGACCACAGAAAGGATACCTCAAGCAAAGATGGAACGGGTTCCAGGAAGTGTGTGCCTGTGACAAAGCAGCTCTCTTGCAGAAGGATATTGAAATTCGGCAAGTCCTCCAAGTTGCAGCAAGATCTTTGTGTCGATGACAGCACAATCACAGAACGCTCACATTGTCGCAACAAGACGTCGTGCAAGCAACGTGCCAAGATCACTTCAACATGTCTCACATCAAAGCAAGCTAGCAATAAAATCCCTAAAAAAAGTACCCAATGAGAGAATATCGACGTGAACAGGGCAACGTGGATCATTGTGAGTGCGGTGCAGCTAGTCTGCCGGCACCACAAACATAGCATCTATACAAGACGAAGTATATGTGCTGGCAGTTTGCCTCACTGTGACGGCTCCGGACGCTCATCTCGAAAGAACTTCAGGAAGTCGTCGATCGCTGCAGGCGATGCAGTCGGCACTTTGCTCAGCACGTTGCGGATTTCCTCCAACAGGCCATTTATGACATCTTCCATGGGCTGGTCAGACTTGACCCGGATGACATTGGGAGCGCCGGGCGGGTACAAGGCTTCATACATCCTCTCGATCTCTCTCAAATAATTCAACGTTATATGTTCCTCACTCTTGCGGCCACGTTTTCTGATTCTGTCCATGGCCTCCGACACAGGGATCTCAAAGAAAATCACCACGTGCGGTTGATGCTGCCGATGTCCTTTGATTTTGTCATTGTATTCTTTCTGCATGTCATCCCGATAGCTTTTGATGAGCCGCCCCTGCTCACAACTGAGGGCGTTGAATACGTGTATCTTCGCCTCCAAAGATCTCTCTGAAACCACATGCATTTTCCTTTCCTCTGTAGCCACTCGGAAGTGGTGCTGAAACATCTTCTTCTCAAAGTCAGAGCTCGCCTGCTTCTGCAGATCCGACACATGCTCGCCTGCTCTTAAGGCCTCCCCAAACTGCGCCAGGCCCTCTTGGAGATCCTTGATCACTGGTTCCCTGATAACTTTCAGTTGCTCCGGCTTGTGTTCATTAATTTCCACAAGCTTCTGCATCAGATCTGACTTTCGCGAGCCAATGTTGCCTTCAATGCATATGAGAAACTTTTCCCTGCTCACGCTGCAGGGATTTAGACCTCTGAGCTTCAGAAACAAGAGCGCGCTGTCTGTTCCGTGGAGCTTTAGCTTGTGAAGCTGGTCTCTCACATTATCGTTCCGTAAGACCGTGTTTTCGAAAATAAGATCAAACTCTTGCACTGTCAAGCCGCTGTCAGACAGCAATTCCTCTCCCAGGTCATGCAGCTGACAGAAGTCTGGCAAGCGAGGGTAGCTTTCCTTCTTTTTGGCTACCCCACCTCCGTGAAGAAAATGCTTCAAAACTATGGTGAAAGCCATGCCGGCTGCGGAGGCAGTGTCACAACTCGACACACGCCCACTGGAGACTCTTGCATGTCCGGAGTCACTTCAGACCCTTGTTGCAGCAGATGCTGACGAAACAGAACCAGATGGATCCAGCTCCACACCGTCACCGGTGGCATCAAGAATTCGCTTCATAAAGCGGCAGAATTCGGTCACATCTTCCACAACTTTCTGAAGGTTTCCCTCGCGGAGCTTGATTTGCGCATCCCAAATCAGGCTAAGAAAGTGTGGGGTAGGCCTTGGAATGCCGTACTGTTCTGCTCTACTGCACCTGTGCTAGGAAGCACTGCAAGAAGGACTTCTCCTGCGATGTGAAACATTTTGTCAGCAGACCTGGCTAGAAGTGACCTCTCGTCTTCTCCAACGGCCACGTCTGGATGCCACCGACGTATCTTTCCAAACGTCTGCTGGCAGACGTCATTCAGACGGGACAGAATCGGATCTACCTTCTCCAACATAATGGTTGTTTGTGCTTGGGGCGCCGGGGAATCCGCCATGCTGATAGTCTCGTTGCTCATGGCAGCACAGATATCGGCTCTTTGGCCACAGACAAAATTGAAAAGAATCGTTAAGCCTGTAGGGAATCTGTAGTGAAGAAAAAATCATGTGCACCTAGCATAATTTCAGAAACAGCTCGTTGATGTCGATGCACATGCTTGCTTATCAGAACCAACATGGCCTGCAGTGGAGCCTGCTTGGCAGCGCAAAGTGTAGCTGCGTGGCTCAGGCAACATGTCAAGTGCCCATACGGTCGGATGTTTTGGGCCTGGCCCAGGGTGTGCAGGCCACAAGGGTCAAGGGTAATGCCTTGAGATATCAACCACACCGGCGACGGGTCGTCTTCCTGCCGTGACCTCACTTGCATGGCACATTCCCAACATCAAAGTATCGATCTTCAACTTTATCAGGTTGAACTTGGTACGAACACCAAACTTTTGGCTCGATGCAGTTCTACTTCCAGAATCCTATCCTTGCACAAACATCTCGGTGCTTCATCAAGGGGCAAAACTACTTTTTGCCGCGGACGCGGGACGCGGGAAGCAAGACGCAAGACACGGGACGCGGGACGCGGGACGCGGGACGCAGGACGCGGGACGCGGGACGCGGGACGCAGGACGGGAAGGGACGTATGCAGGACGTGCGAGGGACACCGAGGGCTTGGCGCGCGGCACGCGGGGTGCGGGGCGTGGGACGCGGGGGTTTTCGGGGCGCGGGGTGCGGCACGCCAAGGCACGCAGCACACAAAACGTGGATATATCTGTCTATCTATCTATCTATCTATCTATCTATCTATCCATCTATCTGAACCCGAATCGCGAAAGGAGGGGTCTGTTTCAGATACATGATGAACCGGAACCGTCAAATGAGAGGGCGCATTTAAGATATATGATATGATATGTGTATATACAAAATGATGAACCGAAATCGCTAAATGAAGGGGTATGATGAACTGGAATCGCCAAATGAAGGGACGTGTTTAAGATTTGTGATGAACCGGAATCGCCAAATATGGGGGGCGTGTTCAAGATTTATGATGAATTGAAACCGGCACATGAGAGGACGTGTTTAATATGGGGAAGGGGAAACTCGGCAGGTGCCCTCTTGGCTGCAAAAGAATACATGTGTTGAATGTTTGGAGACGGTATGATCTCCGCAAATACCCATGAACGTGGCGTTACCATGTGTATCTGCATGTTGTACGGGCACGAGTGCGGCACCAAAATCGGATGTTCAATTCCGTTGCAGCGTAGCTACGTACGTCAAGACTCATAATGAATAGCAATATATCTTCTGATGGGAAGCGAGACCATCAATATAGCACGTTGAAAAGAAATGCGAATCCAGGTGGCAACATCAAGTACTTTTCATCCCGTATAGGCGTGGAATGCACATATCATAGCTTTTTCATCATTGCTACCACAAATACCTACTCACATGTACTTTAACAACGATACAACTAACTTCATCTTAATGCGGAATCCATACTTGCCACAGAAAACCATGTCTGTGTTATCATGAGTATGCAAGTAGATTCGCTTCAACATTAACTTGAAGTCTACTTATTGGTCAATACTGAATTACACATTTGCATTGCTTTGCCGTCTTAATACACAACTATAACATGCAATTCGTTTTTAAGCTTTTTTGTTCTTCACTAATTAACAGGCAAACCATCGTCATGGACAGGAATACAGTTTCGTCGTACAGTTGAGGGAATTTGTGTCCACACTACATGTGCGACCGGTTTCTGGCTCCGGAAACTGGGTTACGGACGAACCTCATGGGCAGTCTGAGTTTTGCTCCACCCCCCTTGCCCCAACAGCAAGTTTGTTGTGGCATCTACAGCGCGCTTTGCACCAACATTGCTTTATGGGGGTTAAAGGGGCCAAATGAATTGAAAGGGACCACGCTCTGGGACCTGAAGAAGTGTACAGGGGCTTCTGGTTTGGTCATTACCCTGAAGAAAGGGGATTTGGAGTCTCCACTCTTTCCGATGTGCGCTCGCAGCGCAAGCAAGCTTGATCGACCTATCAAGACTATCCTAAAGCCAGAGCCAAAACGCTGTTGTTGAGGAATAGACTGTAAACAAAAATAGGCGTATGTTCCATAATTATACTCGTCAATAGAGGGATTTGACTCTAGCGTTGGTTTCCGAGGGACCTCTAGGGGCCTCAGGGCCTCACTAAACAGTAAATAGCCGAAGCAGGCACGCTCCACACTTTTCACGCTGCTGAAGAACAGCAGTCCGAGTCTTGAGCCAAGCCGGGCACGGTTTGAGGCTTCACCTAACAGCTCACTGGACTTGAAATGCTCCAGTTCACAACCAGAAGCTACAGCCGCTTTCTACAGCAGGGCACAGACTGGGTTTAGTCAGGGTTCGGCTACGCACTCACACAGAAAACGGACTTCTTCCTTTTATGTGGTGGTCGAACGAAGCAGTAGCGAAGTTTGAAGCAAAGCAAGCTAGAGTTCGATGCATGTCTGCAACAACATGCGAAGCTACTGCTGAGCAAAGTGGCTGTAGCACTGTGAATCAGAAGTTCAAAAGCGATGTTGTAAACACCTTTGAGTAAACACAAATACTCAGCGTCTGAGCACTAACAAACTTGGACTTCAAGCTTTCTAAACACCAGAACGGCTTCTGATGCCTCTTAGGCATCCTTCTGGAGCTCTGGCGAAAGCAAACAAGCTTGAGTCACTTCAAAGACTCCGCAAAGCCTCGAGTCACCTTATCGGGCAGAGTCTCCAAACTCAAAAGATAAAAAGTAGATGTCGGCCTGTAACGTGTAATCGCAGAACTAGATCGGAATCCGAAGTCACGGCAACCTGGAGCTCGGATGGGAAAAGATCGGAACGTCCCCACAAGGTAACAAAGCAACTCAAAGTGAGCAGATTGTCGTTGATCCAGCGATTCTCTTTGGACGGCATTTGACCTTGTCTTCCAAAGAATTGCTTGAAATCTAATTGATTTGGACATGATAAAGGATCTCGGCTTGATGCTTGTGACCACGCTTGCTTTCGATGCAAGAACAAGGGTTGTCGGGCATAAAGATCATTTTTTTCGAAGCTCGATGCTTATTTTGGTGCGTTAGGTGCAAATGTGAGATGGATTAGCTTCGAAGGCTCTTGACGACAAGATCTTTTGGATCGTTATGCGGCACGTTAAGCGGGAAGTGCTCAAAGTCTCTACAGAGAAGTTACCGAATCGCTTGACTGCTGCTGAGGACATCTGTCAATTGATGAGCTCAAGAAGCTTGTCGTTACCTCCAGAGAAGTTGTCGCTTGGCGATTCTATTACGCCAAAAACTTACAAGTTGGCTTCTGACGAACCGTTGCTTTGTTTTGCGGTGCCTTGGCAGGTTCTTCGTTTTCCGAGTTGAAGCTAGCCCACTGCGTCAAACACAAGCCGTCCGAACGTCGAAAATGAGTTTGGACAGGGCGGACTTGGACCGAAGAAGTAAACAGCGCAAACTTTCAAACAGCAGCTTCATTGTTTTGGTTCCATCCAGACTGTTTCCAAGCTTTTTGCAGCACTTCGCCAGACTGAGCAAGCAGCTGTCGAAAGTGCTTTTTGGCAACTCTAAAGTCCTTTTTGGGGTGATGGAAAGGCGCTAACTGTAGAAATCTGCAGCTTACAGGGGCAGCAAATGTTCAAGACATTCTTGCTGGTGGTGCTGATGTGTCTCCCAACAAAATAGCATTCCAATTCGGTTTCTCAGCTGAAACCGCAATTACGCTGCTGTCAGCGCAAAAAAATCTTTTTGCAGCTCTTGTGCTTGATGTTCTGTTAGATTTTGTTTGGGTTTTTTGCGATAGCAGAAATGGGTTTTGAGCGCTTTGGCCAAAGAAATGAAAATAACACGACTTTAAAAACAAAGCCGTTGAGGTGGTCTTGAGTCTGGAAGTCAAAGCAACAGACATGGTCTTGGGAGACTTGACCTTGGAGTTTGAGGCCAAAGGGTTTGAGCCGGTGTTGACTGTTTGGAACCAAATCGAAGTTGCATGGTCCTGGGAGACTTGACCTGAGAAGCCAAGGTTTTGAGGCGGTGTTGACAGCAGACGTGGTTCTGGGAGACTTAACCTTAGAGGCCAAGCGGTGTTGACTGCACAGCAGACGTGGCTCTGGGAGATTTGACCTTGGAGGCAAGGCTTTTAGGACTAGGATTAATTGCTGGCCACTTGAAGGCACAAACGTGGTGTTTGGAGGCCTGTCTGGCCAAGAGATCCCAAGAGCTTGGCTTGTAAGCCCGTGCACGCTCCAGGCGCCACGCCTTCAGAAAGGCGCGCCAATGGGGCCGGCAGAGCGGTCTTAGGTGCGCTTGCCAGCAAAAAAGGGGNNGGCGTGGCATCTGGAGCGGCGCGGCGCCCGGCGAATCGTACATGGAATCGTACTTTGCTCCGGGATCGTACTTTGGAATCGTACCTGGCTCCGGCCTCGCACTTTGGAATCGTACTTGGAATCGTACTTTGACACC